AAAATAGTCGATTTTCATGATGAAAAAGGTGGTGTATCTCTTATTATCTATAAAGAAAAAGTATATTTTCTGAATCCATACTGTTAGAACGCTCACTTGTTGAAGATACCTATTATTATGGTTCGAAATTTATCAGTGATGGACCCTGTACACAGATTATGTCAACAAAAGCAAATCATTTTGTATCAGCTATATACCTTCCGTTGTATGTTCCAAAAATATAAATCAGCTATTGATCGAGGCATATAAAGGTGGATCACGTTTGTTTCTACAAGGAGGTATATTTTAGGTCCATCCATGCTTAGCTAAAGGTGGAGGGACTAGAAAAAATGAGAAAAATCTTGGAATTTTATCTTCTCTTTTTGCGCTGTGTTTAGCAAATGTTTAAGATTTTTCCTTGCAACTATCAATTATTTCAGATATGATGGATATTTCCCGACATATAGAATTACTGGTATTTATTGGTCTCTTAGGGGGATCATCCCACTCAGATTTGGTTCAACCTTTGCCAGATTATAGAGGATAGTTCAAAATATATATGAAAAAATTTTGAAAGTCTGCGGACTTGTAGTGTTCGAAAAAACAATTTTTTAATTTTTTTCAGCTTTTCTTATCCATTTTAAAATATAAATATATTCCTTAATGTTTAGTTTGAAACCTGGATTTCGTAACTAGTCGATAGAGCGCCTCGCGACGTATATATGAAAATATTGTCGTCGTTCCCCGACAAGGTTTGGCGGAGAAATTCAGATTTGACCTTCAGAATGCTGTTTTGGGGCCAAAAGTGTGCTGCGGGAAAGCATTTTGGAGCGAAAATGTAAGTTTAGAAGTTGTTTATCATGTTGTTTTCTATGGGACAGTACTTTTCAGTCGCTAAATTTCTTAAGGTGAATCTTTAAAATTGAAAATACTGAGGCGCTGCACTGACGAAAAAAGGCGCTCAAATTTTTACGCTATTTTCTCTTTTCTTCTGAGGCAAACGATAGTTTTCAGAAAATCTTCAGCTCATAGAACATAGACACTTTCAAATACGTAATCGTACCAAAAACCGAAAAAAATAAAGATTTCCACGCTGGTTTTTCAGAGTTCTGGAGCGCAAAATCGTCCAGGATCTTGCACAGCGTTTCGCTTTAGGAAAGCATTATGGAACAAAAGTGTGGGAATAAAAATTGTTCAGTAAACGTCAAACAACCGAAGGAATAACTGAAGTTCGTAAAACTCAATTTTTTAATTAAATTTTACTAAATTTTTCGTATACAATTTTTCATCTTGAAAATCAAATTGGGCCAAGTCGAATCCAGCAGATAAAAGTCGAGAAATAAAATTTACCACACAACTGTTTCTGGATTAAACTGTAGAAAACGCTTTTTTTTATAGCAATGTTTCAAAATGGTGTGAACTTTGGTAAAGATATTTTTCTAATGATAAATCCAGACCGAATATCAAAAATCAGGCTCTATTAGCCTCTATCCACATGTATCAGCATCAATTTAAGACCTTCAATTTAAGAAGTCAACTTTTCAAGATTTTCAGAAAACTTTTCTAAAAACCTCTATAATCCTCAATGAGGATCAGATAACATCGGATCCTGATATTAGATACCGTGGGCTATCTGATAACGTGCTTAACTCAATATCGACTTCTCATAAAAACATTTATGTTTCTGACGGGGATGGCTTAAGGCTGATTTTTAACTTACTATTCTTTTCTTTTTGATTATTAGTTCTTCTACTCTAAACTATTCTTATTGTATTTAACAGATACTCCGAAATATACAATAAATGTTATGATATTTCATGAACTACATTGAGTTTGTGGGTAAGAGCAACGATCAAAATCTGATCGTCAAATATGACCGTCTCAATTACTGTCTTTATACTCCATTTCCGACCATCTTCTCTTTTCATTTTTAATTTCTTCAATAATATTTGAACTACCGTAATCGTCTCAAATAACAGTTCTGTTTTATAAATGAGCACATCTCAGAAATCTTGGTGTCAAATATGATTTACAGCGTCGATGAAAATGAAGAATTAGACTGTCTTGATGATAGTCGTCTACGAACGTCTCCTTTCGGAACGCATCGTTCCTGTTCCTAAGCAAGCCAAGCAGATCTATTAAGAGATATCACAGTGAATCATTGCCAAGTAGAATTGATTGAGAAAATTTGAGAGATGATGGGAAAACCATGATATTTATTATGAATTTTACTATTAAAAACAGAAAAATTCTTTTTGATAGAATCTATGCTGTAGATTTGCAAAAAAAACAAAATGAGATAAAAAAGAGACCTTTGAAATTCAAATATTTATAGACTTTCTCTCCAAAAATGTTTGAATCCATTCTTTCTATTTCAATCCCGGTAGTTCTAAATCAGATTTAGAATTACATCGCTACCTCTAGAAAAAGATTAGGGATCGACTATTAAATGGTCAAAAAAATAAAATAAGTTAATCAGAGTTGAAAATAAATCGCTAATAGTGACATCATTTGTTTTCGGCGCTTGAAAAATCTTTTTATCAATTTCTATCTTGAAATTTAATTTTTTTTCCTTCCTAATACAAAAAACGAGATCTAGCTAATACTTTACAACAAACGTTTTTCTTTTCCTTCTGGAAACAATGGCAACTAATCATTTACGCAAATCGATAATGGTTTATAATTCAGTTTCATTGATTATCAGTTTAATATTAATTATTGTCACAATATTTAGTGCAAATGATTCAAAAACAATATATTTTATTGCTTACAGTTTGTTATTTACAGTTAACGCCGGAGTCTTATTTACATTATGGAATAAAGAGCAACAGAACTTATTGCACTTGCAAATTGTTACATATGCCAATACGATTGTTCACGTCTGTTTACTCCTTGGTACGTAATCCTTGTATAAGAACATTCACTTGACAACAGTAATCGAGGCAAAATATCATTCGAATTGGCTTGTCGTTTTCCATAAGTCTTAGTTAATCCTAGACTTTATAAGACTTTCGTGCTATACTGCTATAGATTCTGTCGTTAAACAGTGAAAAATTCTTTATGGAAAAAGTATCTAAAGGTTTCTGAGAATAAGAAAGAGAAGTCAAAAATTTCGCAGTGTTTTTCATTCACTAAGGTTTAGTTTATGTGTCAATCGAAGAAAACGCAAAAATCAAACGAGATCTAGCAACGTTTGTTCGAGATGATAAAAGTGGTACACGTCAAAGTATTGAGATGTTGATTATTCAATTTCAATGTTGTCAAATAGAACTAAATGACTCAACACGTGCCTTTTTTGTCAAATATTTTCCGTATAATTGTGGCGATGATAAAGCACAAAAACCAAAAGGTACAGCATTCGATTTTGCTAGAAATAAACCATGTTTTCCCATCATAGAAAACGCAAATATGTTCTCAAGTGTCTTTGCTTTTATTCTATGCCTCATCAGTTGTGTGTTTGTTATACTATTATGGAATCACTATAGGAAACAAAAGGCGGTCCAAACGATAGGAGCTATTGCGGCGATGCAGCAACAGCAAGAACCGTCAGTGGGTGAAACAGATAGCATAACATCGTAGGTATTTATCGTTACTTATAATAAAAATATGCATACATAAACTGAAACTTGGAAAGAGAAACAGGGGCCTAATATGTCAATTAGTGTACATATCTTTGCGGCGTGAGAGAAACTGAGAGACAAATATTAGAAAGAAAATGCATTTCTCGACCGGGAATCGGACCCAGTGGCATCGATATCGTAGGCCAATGCTCTTCTCCTAAGCTACGAAGCACAGTCTAGAGTGGGTTAAAATCATTCACTTGAAAGAAAATGTATGATTAGACTGCTTCGTAGCTCAGGGGAAGAGCATTACCCTAGAAAACCGATGTCTTTGGGTTCGATTCCCGGCCGAGATATACATTTTCTTTCTCGTGTTTGTCTCTCAGTTTCTTTCAACTATATGTACACTAATTAAACTAAAACTTATTCCTCGCTCGCAACAGTCAATAACAGGAGATTTGCTGAACTGTGTTTTTGGTTGCTCATGTGAATATTTGCATAAAAATTATTTTATACAAAATGCTCTACCTATCTGTCTGTCTGCCTTTCTTCCAAACCTCAATATCATACAAGAACAGAAAAAAAGAAACATTTATGCCTAAAGCATCCATTTAGCTACAGTAGTGCCTTTGTAAGACTGCTGAAACGTCAAAAACAATCTGCTTGCAGTAGATCATCCAAGGTCAACTGGCCAAAATCGGGTCTTGCAGGAACGTGCTTGTCAGAGAGTAAAGCTGAAGTGACCATCGTGTACAAAAACCTATAATTAAAATAAGAACAAACGAGACTATTTTCTTCTTCTTTTCTTTCTTAGTCATCTTTCTCAGTCTTAGTCTTTGATAGTAATACGGAAAACATGACGGTAATAGCTATAGCTAGATAAGGATTTAATCCTTTTCTGTATCACTATTAAAGAATGACTAAGAAACAAAAGAAGAAGAAAATAGTCTGGTTTGTTCTTATTTTAATTATAGGGTATTGTATATTGAGGCATTTGTCTTAAATTTAATGTCTGGTAACAAAATTAAATCGATCTCTAATATTAAAAAGCAATTTGATTTATTTAACTATGAATCGCAAAGTCAATACGATCTATTCTATGATTTTGAATTGATTCTATTACAAATTGGAGGTTTATGTGATTTAAATATTGACTGCATGATTAATGTGCCGAACCAGCTGAAAAATTCTATATTTTCAAATCGACACAAATTATTAACAAAAATATCAATAAAAAGTATAAATCGTTTTAACTTCAGAGACCATTGCCAACTCTTTAATCCGTTTTTACTTGATTTGACACTAGAATTGGCGAATATCAACGATCTTTTCGCATTATTTAAAATTGTCCCGAATATTCAACGTTTAAACGTTGATATTTATCACTGGTCTAATTTCTTTTGTCCACTCAAACATAGGCAATCATTATCTAATCTCATTATCTAACGAGGTTGAACCCTCCGATCCTAGATTACACTTTTTGAGGTGGAGCTAGCTTAACCGGGTCGAAAACTGTGTTACATGGCCCTAACAGCCAGATTTTAGCTCCATTTTTTACTCGGGTAGAACCTCGTGTATCGGCGTCGATTCTCTGACGACTGAGTTACCTAGTCCAATTAACCACTCGTCACAATGAGTCGCACATTTAAACAAAATTTGAGAATGGAGCTAGTCATTCTTGATGGCAAAGAACATGGGTGGCTATGCCGGTGTTCTGACAAGAAGCAGATTTGATCTTTTCGATGGAAACGTTTCAAGAGGAGTAGGGGGCACTAAACACATTTTCTAAGCCTTAGTTTCTTGAAATATTCTCGAAACGTTTCCCACTGTAGATTTCCACTGTTGTTACCCAATAGTTTCAATAAAGTAAAATTCTAGTAATCTAGATGAATCGGGCGATACTAGATTTTTTTTGACGTTTGGGAAACTTATTTATCTTTTTGCATGCAAGATCATTTCTTATGACTTTTTTTTGTCACTACTTAATTCATTCAAACTTCTTCACTTTACTAAAAGAGAAACTTTATTTTTTTTAAAAAGAACACACAAAGAATGTCTACCTTACCACTAATATATTCTAGTGAACCATTTAAGCAAATACTATTTACTAATTATCATTTGTTTAAGCTGTACATGTAATGTCTTCATATTACCTATCTGTTAATCACATATATACCTGTAATAAATGATTAAATATTTGCAGCAGATTTAAATTTTTTTCTTGGATTTTTTAGAGAACATTTTGTTGATTGGATATTCGACATTGTACCATATATTTTCAAATTATTGTCTTCAAAAGATGTTGTGTAGAAATAAATTGAATTATATTTAGAATCCATTTCGAGATTAAAACAAACACTGTTTTTCCTTTTGCCAAAATGTGGTAGAAAATGATTCTAAAATTCGTTTAGGTTCTAATGCTTGTTTGTTGATATCAATAGTAAAAAAACAATTAAATTCTGTCAATGTTGGTCTTGTTTTAAACATATTTTCCCATAATTGACCATTCACAAAACCTTTTATATCAGTCCAGAGAATAATAGATAAATATGTTAATGACGGTAGACTATAGAGAAGTGTAACAATGTTAATAGCTGATGCTTCATGTTTATGAATTTTTGCTTTTAATTGAAAATATTTCACATTAGATAATGATTGCCTATGTTTGAGTGGACAAAAGA